TTCGCCCGTTCAGGTCAGTCCGTTCGGCCGGTCCGTTCGTCCGGTCACACGGTCGGTTCGGTTGACCTCACCGGGTGACCGGACTGAACGGAGAACCGGGCTGACCGGGTGACCGGGCTGAACGGGTGACCGGGCGAACGGGGGGCGGCTGGTCACGGTCCGGTCTTCCGGTCGACACCATCCTCTGCAGTTTTTCGATTGCATCACGGTTTAGCTTTTCGCGCTAATGCCCCGTTCCAGGTTTAAGCATGGTCTCTTTATCTCCAAGACCTACAATTTTCAAAGGGGCATCCGACAAGGATGCCCGCTTTGGGGTTGGGTTCTCCTTTAGATTTTTTAACAGCGTGGGCCGCGATACGCAGTGTGGCACGGAAGCATAAGCGTTTAGGGTGTCCGGCGGCCAATGGTGCGACGCAGGGTGGGATCGAGTGGGCGGGGTGGGATACGGGGTGCGGCATGGGGGGGCGGGCCCGGGCGGTTCCACTGGCCCTGGAGGTGAGGCGGGGTGCCACCGGTGACGGTCGCGATACGAGGTGCGGAGCGTGCGGACGCGGTTCCACCTGGAGGTCGCGATACGGAGTGCGGCTACACTTGGAAAAGCATGCTCGTGTTACTGTCACCGCTCGGGAGATTTGCTTTGGTTTTTGGGTTCCCGGGTCAACCTTGTTTTGGACTAGGCAGACCAGGATTTTGATGTAGCACAAACAGTAGCACTAAGAGCAGGAGCGACCAAATCCTTCGACGACTGAGCACTGTGTTTTTTTTGCCATCAGCCAAATGACTGAGAGGCTCATGGATTTCGGAAATGCGGTTCAAAGCTGGCAGCCAAGTTACAGTTAGCCTGTGTGTTCACGAGGCGTTGAGCTGTAGTCCGCGAGGTCATTCGGCCACCGGGCAAGAGCTCCGCTACTTCCTTGCTGCCGCACAGCTGCAGCCTTTTGCAGCATGAGTGATGCAGCCGGTTCGATAGCTGTGCAGGTCGGCAAGGATACCTACCGAGCTCCAGAATGTTTCGTGCCACGCCAACCAGATGCGAGAGCAGGCTGCTCATGCTCGGCTTCCTTTGGGCCTTTGGCTGGCCTTTGGCCTACGGGAGCCAAGGTCACAGTCCCAGCAGCAGCCAGACCTGGAGACATCATCATGCATCGAGGCTACGAGGGACTTTGGCAGGCAAGCTTGGCATTGCATGGCCGGATTGGCAGCCCGGGCTGTGTTGACTTTCAGGTTCGCTTGCCGTCCAGTGCGATGCCCGGACGCGGCCCAAGCTGATGAAGTCTTGTTGCCTCCATTATACTGTCAGAATGCTCTTGCCTCAAGCTCGACATCAGGTCAGGCCTGTCAAGCAGAGAACTGGGGCTGGAAGCTTAAACACTGGTGATGCATACTCTTGACAAATACTTCTGTGCGGAATTGATGGAGGGGCGGGGGCGGGTTGGGTAGTTGTGGAGACTTCTCTTTTAGGGTTTGGAGTTGCGCCTCCTCAAGCTTGAATCAATAGGCCTGCCATTGACTGGCAACGTGCGAAACTGTCCACAGCATGCAGCGAAGGGCACTACATCGCGATCCCTGAGTCGGCCAGCAGACATTTCGCCACTTCCACACCATCAATTATTAATGTTTCAGGATCGGTTGCAGTTCCTGCGCACCAGACAAGTGTCAGGCATCAACAAGCAGGATTGTGCCAGCATGCTGCCGCCTGCTGCAAACCGGCCACGTTCAGCGACCCGGTGATCATGCCGTCACCTTGAAGACTGGATGCGCAGCCAAATCGGTCATTCGTATGACGGCCGACAGAGTGCACACATGGCACAATGGTATTACTTACAAGCGGCCCGTGGTCACGCGGCCACACACGCGGCTCGCGGCCAAGAACAAACAACAACAGCAGCTTCTTCGCGGGCTCTGGGTCCACCAACATCTCCTTTTAGGGTTTGGGGTTTCCCAACCATTCCTTTTAGGGTTTCAGCATCTCCTGGTAGGGTTTGGGGTTTGTCAATAGCAGCTTCTTCGCACGCTGTGGGTCCACCAACATCTC